CGGACGGGAGTGCGAGAGATCCGCTATTCGCACTTTCGTCCCACGTTCGTATTCTACTTGCACTTGTTCGCCTTCTTGTTTTCGTAATAAGAGACGAAATATCAAAATCTCTTTCGTATAAAAGACGAAATATCAAAATCCTTCACTGCCGTGCGCGAAGCACAAACGGAACTCCATATGCACCGACGTTAGAGTCTCGTGACGGTAATGACATTGCTGTACGACGATCGCTCGCGTCGGATTCTCGCAAAAAACATCGCTTCCGGTCTAGCTGCGAAAATGGACGCACGAGCGAGGTTCACCGTCGGTAGAAATTCGAAGCAATAGCTTGTCTCACCAAAAAAAAGTGACACACGAGAGAGTAACTAAGGAACAACTGCGAAACACACACAACGACCGCCAACGAACGACTGACAATGGGTTTGCCGCGAGCGAATCGAACTGGAAAGGCGGCGGTCGACGGGGTAGGGGGGCGAGCGGATTAGAGGAGAGGAAGGGGATATAGCGCGCGAAGCAGCGGGACGAAACGTGGGCGGAGAGAGGGGAAAACAGGAAGAGAGACGGTGGGAAGGAAGCCATGAATGGCGACAGTGTGACGCGGGGACAGAGGAGAAACGTGAAAAGAAGTGGTGGGAGGGCGCGAGCGGGAGAGTCGGAGAGGAAGGGGGAAAACTCACTGGGGCGCGTTCGTTCACAGTATGGCGTCGCCATCTGGCGATAACGTGCTCAATGTGCGGGCCGCTCCCGGCCGGCCCGACGCACACGAAGCTTTTTATGAATGGACGGAAGCTATCATTGAAGCTTCGGATTGAATGAAAACATTACCTACGTCGTCACCGCTGTGCGGCACTGCGCCGTCACACGGCGTCGGCGCGACCCGACAGTGACGGCCGCAGTTCGACGAATAAAGGAAGTGGTAGTAGTAGCGGTGCTAGCGATACTGATGATACTGATAATACTGATCATACTGATCATACTGATGATAATGATAATGATAATGATGATGATGATGATAATGATAATGATGATGATGATGGTGGTGATGATGATGATGATGACAATGGTGGTGGCATTATGGATGATGTCGTCTGCGTGACAGCGTCACCGACGTCATCATCGACGTTGTCATCATTGACTTATCAATCATTAACTACGAAATCGTTTTTCCATTGCTTTTTTCAGTTGCTTCCGCATTTTATAAGAATGCTCAATATGAACGTTGAGGGATACTATATCGATAGGGGGCGTTATCGATCGGATATGAGAAAGACGCAAAGCGACGTAACGCGATATGATGACGTCGCGTTCCAGCGACCGCCATGGTGTTTCGAGATTAGCACGTTTGGACAGCGTCACTTCGTGATAAACGAAAAGTGAGGAGCGATTTCTCGAAATATTCTCACAATATTCGCTTGTCGCCATTTTTGTCTGGTAACGAGAGCAAAACACGTGGATACATATTTTGTGATATTACTCAAGAATAGAATTACCAAAGAATTACCATTAAAAATAGAATTAACTACAATATGTTGATGTAATGATATTCGTAGAATAATTTGCAAATTGTATATTAAAATAGCGGATCTTAGAATCATATAAATAGAAAATTATATTATAGTTAATAAAAATAAATCAATGAGACTTTACAAATAAATCTAACCTTGCAAGATTCTGTTCTACAGGCTCCTTATACATTAAAGAAACACATCAAAATCGATCTCAAGATGTTCTTTATAGCACTTCTTCAGCCTCGACTTACGATCACGCAAGCATGAACGACAAACTGCACAAAGCTGCACAAGCAACGAAGCGAACTCGCGAGCATGCAGAGACCGGAGCCGACAGAGGGCGCGAATAGAAAAGAACAGAGAAAGACAAAAAGAGAGAGAAGAAGGATAATGGTGGGAGAAAGAGAAAGAGAAATAGCACCGCCATCTCTTTCTGACATACTACTCAGTTCTATATTTATCCCACTCATTAATTCCATCCTCGTCGTGCACCGTTCATTCATTCGTGCGCCCACTTCTCGCTCTTTCTTTCTCTTTCTCTCTCTCTTTTTCGCGCTCTCTCTCCCTCTCCCTCTCCCTCTCTCTCTCTCTCTCTCTCCTTCTCGTCGTTTTTCCCCTATTCTTGTTTCACTCGCTTCCTCTCATTCTCTCTCTGTCTTACACGCGCGCGCAAATACGCACGTTCATTCATCTCATCTCTGTCTGACCACCGCCCGTATTGCCAACGCTCCCCTTCTCTCGATATGTCCATCTCTTTTTCTCTCCTTTTCTCTTATTCTCTTCCTCTCTCTGCTGCTCGTTCAACCGGGCATGTCGCTCCCACTCGTTCCCCTTTCTTCACCCCGCGACATCTTTCCCTTCGCGATCCTCCCACCAATCTGACACATCCGCAGCTGTAAATGCAGTGACGTATGCTCACGTTGAATGGGCCTGATCGTTTCAAGAAGTAAGGTATTTTATTGCCACTTAAGTTTCGATTGTTCGTCGAATTCGTGTATTTAAAAATGTAAGTAAAACACTTATGAGCCAGAGATAATATTTAAAATGTTTTGGAGATGATAATGTAATCAAGCAATAGGATTAAACAATTTATTCCACATTTATTAGACGAAATGGTTAAAATGATTAATTTTAATGATTAAAATTACGATTCCGAGAAAGAAAATAATTAAAATAACTGATCAAAAATTATTCCAATTCGGCTAAGTAATCTGGTGTCAGAATAACGGGCTATATACATTAAACGTTCCACTTATTCTCCGATGACGTAGTAAGAACGTGGCGACGACGCAAGCACCTTTTGTTAAAAGACGAACATTGTGACTCGCGAGAACGTGTTCTCAGTATTTGCGTGCATGTGCACGGGCTTGGCACTAGGCGCTAATATCATATCTACATCTTCACGGTGAAACGGCGCCGAGATTTGAGCAAACTGTCCAAAACTTTTTAACTTATCACTTTCTGGTAGTCGCAACATTCTCAATGTTCGCTAGCGCACGCAGTGTGAAACACATGTTAACCGCGCTCACTCGATGAATTTGACGCATGTATTTCCGAAAATATGACGTAATTATTATTATTAGAAAAATATGCACAATTGTCTTCCGTAATAGCATGTTTTAAAACAAACGTGCACTGAGAAAAATGTTCTGTTTGATTCAATCTAGAATCTTGTTACATTAATAAGAATTCAGGTAGATTCAATCAGAATCTGTTTCGTCCAAAATCGAACAGACAGTTTGTTGAATCAAGTAGAACATTTTTCTCAATGTGCTTGCGCAATATTTAATATCAATTGCAACAATTATCATTATTATTATTATTGTTGTTGTTGTAATTATTATTGTATGATATTTTACTATATCTGCTGTAGAGATCGATTTATTGAAGAAGTCAAACTAATTACAAATATTTTAATTTTTCGCAGGGAAATATTTCCGATTTTATATTCGTAGATTGTACCACAAAATGTGTTTTCTCATATAGGGTTACATTAAATTAAGTTAGATTAGAGTTAAGTTAAGATTAGATGAAACGATATTGATCTGAAGATAAACGAGAATGCTTAAGAGCGATAAAACATATTTCTTAAATATTTTTTATAATCTTAGAGTTAACGTACGTTTTATATTATTTTACATATATTTATATTATGTAAATATAAGACGCGCGTAAAGGAATTCGATTGCTACCTTTCTCAAATAAAGAGTCAAAAAGTTTTGCACATTGCAAACGATATCGGAGTGAGGTTCACCGAATCCATCGCTACGTCGCTGATCCGGGAAGAGGAGAAGTGGGAAGGCACGTTAAGCGAGGCAGGCGAGCAAGAAGCAACGAATAAATGAGCGAACAGCCAAGTAAACTTTGACGAAGGCTTGGCTTTAGCTACACCGCAACCAAGTGAACGCTCTATGCCGAAAAATCCGGTCGCGAAAATAACTCGCACCTACCCCTCGATAACGTTTCTCTCGAGTACGTCACCGCTCTCACAGCTTCTCCAAAGACGATCAACTACGACTTGGATAGTATAGTCATTTAACTCGCCGTTACTTGCACGGCTCTTTTTTACAAACGTAATTCCACACGCGAGGTACATTTTATATCTATAGGTTATGTCCACGGAATATGTATTGATCGATAAAATCCTTAACCAGTCAATTTATTGAAATTTGAAGACTATTTTATATTCCATGCTGTGTGCGAAAATTTGCGGATTAATACAAATATTTATTTGAATATGTTTAAATATATTTATGATATTTGAATAATATAATCGGTGCTTGAATTGTGATATTCTTATATTTTCATGTCGACAACTCGTACAATTGGGCTTTAAATATTTTTCATATCTTTTTACTTCATCCTATAAAAAAATTATTTGTAAATAAGTGATCTACATAATATGTTTTTCATCATTGCGACTCATATTTTGGGATAAATTTCTTTTTTAACAATTTAAATGCAATTATGTGATCATTATATGTGACGCCATGATTGTTATTGCGCGATCAGTTCACAGGACAATGACGAAGGTGTCGGTGGCAAGTGAGAATTGTCTTGCGTCATCTTTTTCTCATTTGAAGTAAACGCTCCGCGCGCAAACAAGTGTCAAATAAGAAATCATCGTGGAGTGTTAATTAATCGCATATGTGATCACGATTACCAATATTTTGGCATCGTGTTTGTCGAGTCGATTGTTGATCGTCAAATTTTCAGTCATCGATCCCCACATCTTTCAAATGTTTTCAGAGATATCTTCATAGCGATAATAGTGTCGGTAGTAGTAATATTGTAAGCAAGTAAACACAATCGTAAAGATTAGTGCATATGATATGATCGCGAGCTAACCTAATATAATCTCGTATTTCAGTATTTGTTGGAGGCAA